GATACTTTCCGTGCTCCTTTGAGACCTGATATTTCTCAATTTTTCAAATATTGCACTTGTTAAGATTCTTAAACTTCCTTAAAATTCATCTTCGGTATGTTTCATATCTTAGTTTCACACTCTAAAAATATATGTTTCATCATAGAGGTATGGATGTAAAAGCCATAAGGGTCATCCATGGCTATACCTAACTTTCTTAAAACCATCCAAATTATGTTTTACATCTTTAGTTCCATACTACAAAACCATAAATATCATCAAAGAGGGATGGATCTAGAAGCTATAGGGGTCAGCCATGGCTATAGCTGGAATTCGTAAATTTGAAACCGTACATTTACAATTTTTCGAATTTTAGACTTGTTTAAAACCTATAACTTCCTTAAAACCCATCTAATTTATGTTTATATCTTAGTTTCACACTATGAAAGCATAAATATCATCAAAGAGGGATGGATCTAGAAACTATAGGGGTCAGCCATGGCTATAGCTGGAATTCGTAAATTTAAAACCGTACATTTACAATTTTTCGAATTTTGGACTTGTTTAAAACCTATAACTTCCTTAAAACCCATCTAATTTATGTTTTATATCTTAGTTTCACACTATGAAAGCATAAATATCATCAAAGATGGATGTATCTAGAAACTATAGGGGTCAGCCATGGCTATACCTGGAATTCGTAAATTTGAAACCTTAGATTTACAATTTTCAAATTTTGGACTTGTTTAAAACCTTTAACTTCCTCAAAACCCATCTAAATTATGTTTTACATCTTAGTTCCACACTATAAAACCATAAATATCATCATAGAGGGATGGATCTAGAAACTATAGGAGTCAGCTATAGTCATACACAAAATCCAGTTGTCAAAAATGTCAAATTTTTCGAAAAATCAACAATTTTTTTCTCAGCTCCTACTTCTTCCATGGCTTTGCACCTTTCAGGGTTACTAACCCTGCTATTGGGCACTTCACATGAATTTTTTCAACCTCTTACAGTGTCTAATTGAAAAGTAAGAATCAAAACAGTAAGAAAATGAGTCACGAATTTGCCCCCTGGGGTACACACTTTGTGCTAATATTCAAATTCTTTACGAGTTATCAGCATCAATTATACTGCAAATTATTCATATATATAATATCTATGTATATCACTTACAAACATCAAAATATGTAAGGTTATTTAGTGTGAACAATTTTTTCCCCAGGGTAGGGTGTTTTTGGGGGGTGGGGGGCTAACTCCTCAAAAAAAAGAACTTCCTACCACTCTGTGAAGCTATCACCTAGGTGGAAATTTCATCCAAGACTCTCCCCTAACTGAAAATACTGCCAAACCAACTATACACCATTTATTGAGAATTTTCCTCCTCGCCCCTAGAGTAGATGGAGTGATCCTATATATTCTAGCATACACAGACACAATGGCTGAATAAACGGCAAATGACGATAAAAAGACATAGATATAACATTACACTATAAATTTTGAACACAAAAGTTACTTAAGACCCTTATATTGAGATAACTAGGTTTACATCGGGAACAACATTGAGTACTATGAGTAAATAAAGTTCATCTTCACAGAATGATACTATCTTTAGAACGAGACTAACCTTGTATTTTTCGTATTTTGGCTCATTTTGGGAGTCGTGTCCTCCCCGTCTTCCATTTTGAAATATGCGCGCAGTTTGTCAGAGTTTCAAACTGCGTGCCTAGTAGGCGCTAGTAAGTTAGTAAGCTAATAAAAGAAAGAAGATATTCTGGATTTTGAAGCCCTGTGATCGGAGAATGTCACTAATTTGGCCATACGTGTTGTTACTCAAAAGTCAGGTTTTTGTTATTATTACTCAGCCCTTTCACTGAAAATGTCAATGCGCGTGATTGCAAGGTAGTCCCAATATCTTGTGTTTCCTAGAGCTTGAAAATACTGTTATCGTCAATGATTGGATATTCATTCACATGCATGAACAAGTGGGAAAATACTTTTTCCAAATTCCACATGAAAACACCTCTTTGGAATTATACTTATGCGTAATAATACGAACAAAATTACGGACTTTTTTCGATCAGATGCGTGGTTCGCGGTAACGGATCTTTGTGCGCGGTACAAGAAATATGTTCGGAAACAAGGAAATGGTGGTGCGCGACATAAGATTTCACGTTCGCGATATGAGATTCGTGGTTCGAGTGCAAGGAACGTAGTTCGCGGTATCAGAACTGATGTTCGCGTTGTTGGAAGTCTAGGAGGCCTGAGGTACAGGTAATTACAAAGAACTATTCAGTATATAAATAGCTCTGCGTGAATGACACGACTGTTTTATACACAAACAATACAAGGTAAAATCCATAACACTGAGTAAGTCGTTATCCGAGTGTTTGAAACAGTGTAACAAAGTATTTATGACACTGAGCTGCCCTCTATTTTGTTATTGTATAATATTTGTATGAAGCACTTTATAATAGAGAGATTTCGCACATACGCGAAAGTACACTTATAACGTATACTTATATACTTATAAGTAAACGTACAAGGTGTTTCATAATGTGGCCATTTTAGTGCCGATTTTACAGTAATTTAGGTGCAATATGTAAAACTGTAATAGCAATATGTTTTAAATGTAAAAAAATTATATAGGACATTGATAAAGCTAGAAATATAGATATTAAAGAAGCACATGGCAGCCATTTTGAAAAATGGCGGCCTTTACTCGTTATTTTACGATTTTTGCTATAACTCAAGAAGTAGTGGAGCGATTTTGTTCATATTTGGTATGTGAATACTATAAGCATGGCTCACTGTCTAATGACACTTTTGGTAGGAGGCGGCCATTTTGAAAAATGGCGGCCATTCATATTTGGTATGTGAATACTATAAGCATGGTACATTGTCCAATGACACTTTTGGTAGAAGGTGGCCATTTTGAAAAATGGCTGCCATTTAAATGTATTTTACTCTGCCTTTACTCATTATTTTACGATTTTTGCTGTAACTCGAAAAGAAGTGGAGCGATTTTGTTCATATTTGGTATGTGAATACTATAAGCATGGCACACTGTCAATGACCCTTTTGGTAGAAGGCGGCCATTTTTAAGTATTTTACTATAACTCGAAGAGTAGTTGAGCGATTTTGTTCATATTTGGTATGTGAATACTATAAAGAAAAAGCATATTACTTCTTCTGATGACAACTTGGCTAGTGACCAACCATTTTGAAAATGGTGGCCTTTCTTATGTGTGTTATTTTATGATATTTGCTATATATTTCGTTTGTAAAAATGCCAGCCATTTCTGTTCCATGGGATTCGCTACGCTTTGGCGTTGCCGTTGTTCTGGTTTGTCAATGTTTCACGATCACTTTTCATTTGATATTACATCCTAGCACTCTGAATAACATTTATAAATTGTCCCTATGTAAATAAAATGAAAAAAAGTATTATTTATCAACAGAAATTTAAAATTCACCGTGCGGCTGCCGTGGGAAATGTGACTGCAAAAGTATGAGAGCGCAGAAATTCCACGGCGAGGGTAAAAATGTTACTGGCCGCAGAAATGATAGACTGCAAGGTCGCCGTAGGAAATGAGACTGGGGTGTAACACCCCAGTCACATTTGTCGCACGGCGGCCGCAAGTCGACCGCATATCAATTAAATCGATGAATTTATGCGGCGAGCGTAGAAAAACTACGCTCGCCTTGCGGCCTCCGTACGGCGAATGCAGATTTTTACACGCCGCAGGGAAGGCCTAGAAATTATAACTTTGAGTTATAATATTTGTTCATTTCTGAGGTCCTCAGTCGTAGAAATCAACTGGCTCAACAAGATTGAATCATTATTTGTCAATGTTTCACGATCACTTTTCATTTGATATTACATCCCAGAACTATGAAAAACATTTATAAATTGTCCCGATGTAAATAAAATGAAAAAAACTATTATTTATCAACAGAAATTTAAAATTCACCGTGCGGCTGCCGTGGGAAATGTGACTGCAAATTAAAGTATGAGAGCGCAGAAATTCCACGGCGAGCGTAGAAATGTTACTGGCTGCAGAAATGATAGACCGCAAGGTCGCCGTAGGAAATGTGACTGGGGTGTAAGGGCAGATCGGAGCTCCAATGTTTATGTTTATGTTTCTTTATTTTCCTCCGTGTTGGGGAGAGCTTAAAAATGTACATCAAATTAAATTAAATAATTTACAAAGATTAAAAGTATAGAAAGGAGATTCAACATATTTACAGAAGCATGTTCTTAAGATGTACTATTTACATTGTTTAAGGATGAAGGTATATTCAAGTATACTCTCCAAGACTTGTGGAATCCTGTGGAGCAAACCTGAAGAAACCTTTAATGTCAAACAGGCTTTCGCTACACATTATAATGAATTGCTCAAACATCAAATCATCCATGAACAAATCTGACCTATTGCCTAGAAGTGTGTGAGTTAGTTTTTCATCGGTGAGGTTAAACAGATTAACACCCACACTTATAGGCAGATGGTCGATGAGTTTTTCAAAGAAGATGTTCCTATGCATTGAAAAATACTCACACTGCAAATAATGCACAATGATACGTTCACATAACCTGTGGCAACTGTTACAACGATACATTTTATAACTTGGATCTGTGGCCAGGTTAATGAGGTTACCAAGTGACCACGTGTATTTTGGAAACTTAAGACCTATTTGCCATGCGAAACACGGTACTGGCACGCTACGGCACTGTTAACGTTAATTAGCGCTCAAAATCTCCGGAGATTTTCGAATGAACTGTGAAAATTGTCGTCTGAACTTCCTGTACGCGAATCACTGAGATTGAGGGAACATTTTGAGATGTAAGGTTAAGTAAGCAGCTGATTCCAGTATTGAAGTTTCAGCCATCGCGATTCTTTAGCGGTCAAAAGGGGGCGATCAAAGGATACACTATTCTAGCCCTTTGTTAACTCTATATCACATCAACAAATTAACAAATGTCATATTTATCATATTGGAAATTTACAATTTATTGTATATTGCTGTGTTACATCATAATGGCGTCTTATGGTGGCCCTGATGGTGTATCAGTCACGTCATCCTCCGCGGTGGCGTCTCCAACACAGCCGCACTTGTCAAGGTTAAAGGTCATTACTGGATGACATTGTACCATGTTACCGCCAAAGGTAAAATTACTGCTTGCACCATCAACAGCGTAATACACTCTATTGTTTTGACAACAACCACCGCCTAAAATGGTGATATATTGCAAATAATACAACGTTGTTCTCATAATTCCATTTGTTTCTCACTGAAAAGTTGCATTTGAAAGAATACAGAAATGTATACCCTTAATTTACAAAAGCGATAACCTGGCCTAATAATCGAGTTATGTTAAATGCAAAAAACATTCACTCCTATTTCATTTATTTGAAGACAGAGAACAGAGAGGAATTTGACGACGATTGAAATATTTCATCATATGTAATAAAGTAGAACATCTAGAATACTTCTCTTGGTTCATATGTTACAATATCTTGGTTACGAGCTATATTCTCAAAACACAATCCAATTATATTTAAATATTCATTCTGCCGTGGAGGCTAGCAAATAGGTAGGTTAAGTTACACGTTTTAAAAAAACTTTACGTGAGCGTGTATTTCGACCCCCGGGGATTACTGTCTCGCTTTTAATTCATCCAGGGACCTACGTAATTACAATTATTTTCCATATACCTTCATACTAAATCGGCAGTAAACGGTACAAACGGGAAAACTAATCCACAGAGGACCATAATTCTACACGATCACGTACAACTTTTTAAATCGTGTTTCACATCCTCTCCCTAATGGTTGTTGGTACTTACTTGCGTCAAGAGCAGCTTGATCGTTACATATTTTGTCAAAGATTGGTTCAAATGGTTCACCTTAAAGAGATAATGTGAAAAACTGACATCATGTTACTGATTTCAATATTAACAATTAGTGTTTACTTTCAAAGACAAATTCTGTTTTTATGAAAAACATAAAAAGTAACATGTAAATGAGAACTCACTTGGACAATCACAGATTGCAACATCTACAAAATCGCATCCGCATATAGTCTGGATCCAGGCGGTGCCACCAGGGCACTTACCGAAGTCCTCCTCCGTTACATTTGCATCATAACGCCTAAACGAACAGCAGTCTGTGGGGCTAACAACGAATTCGCAGTCTGGAAAGTAAAATAGCATTTTGAATAACGGATTCGAAATGTCGGCAATTCGAACATGTGCATTGTTACAACCCGCTCATTCAGATTAATTAAATGATTATAAATAACTAATGAATTAATAATTTATATGAATTAATGTTAATAATGTTCCGAGATTATATATATGTGTATGAGTAATACAATAATCTTGATGTAAGATCATCTGTCTAAAACTTAACTTAAACATAAATGATAATAACAAGGAATGTACTGTTTCACCTGCTACAGGTTGGAACCAGATATGTATTTATAGTAACAAATCACTATTTTCTGTCAAGAATATCAGATTGATGATTATTATTATCCAATCAAAATCTACTTACAATTTCGAATACCTATATGCTAAGCGTAATTTCAGCACAATTAACAGCAAATATAAGCAATATTTCGACAGAATGATCAATGTGTCTCTACCTGTATAAGTACTACTATATAAAGAAGTGCCGAATTACAGTTGATTCATTCTTGAATTGGGTTTTATATCAAAAGCTAACAAAACTATGGAAATAAATTAGGACAGAAATACTTAGAAATTATTCGCAACATTTTTGGACTTCAGAAATATTTGCTGCATCTCTGACTTGAACACTCGACACCTGGAATTAGGAACGGAAAATAAAAAATTGGAATACTGCATCAGACTAATTTTAGTTGATGATAGCTACGACCTGTGAGTATACCAGAGTCCCACAAGATCCTGGACTCAGCACTGGATTAATTGTCGGTCACGCATCGGCGACGACGGTGTTATATTCTGATTCTTATGAAAACACTTCTAAAATATGATAAAGTTGAAAAGGTAAATTAATTTTTTGAAGGGGACGTTCTGATATGTTCTCTTTATAAATACGCGTGATTGATTTGAATTGTTTTGGAGGATTATGCTTTTTAAATGTTTTGATGAGTTTAGTTTACTTACGATAACACGAATCGGCAAATTAAAAAGTTTCAAAGTAATCAGCAGTTTCACAAAACTATACGATCTAATATGACATAACAAATATTCATTGCTCTTCAATTCAATATTTACTTAAAAAGTTTCCCTACCCGAAAGAGTTCCGTCCAAGTCTGCTACTTGATTCAGGTCACAGTAGGCACCGGCAACAAGAATTGCTAAAATCACGAACGTGTTCATCTTGAGTTGTTGAAGTGGCTGCTTCTAGCAAGCGTGCTTTCCAAAGATCCCAGATGTGTGATGACCTCTTAGAATTATTTAAGTTCTATATATATATGGGTGGGTAAAACACATAAATGTCACCAATAGAATGCATCGATTTGCCGTCATCTACCAATCCTCTGACCGGTCATAACAAATGACATATGATCACCAACTGTTGTTAGCACCTGGTCTCCCTTACAAGAAGATTACTCTATTCTGGTACAATAATAAAACAATCATTTCCTCAAAATAAATGACATCACACTCATCAAAAGTGTGATGACACTCTGGTACAATAATCAAAGGATCACCTCTCAAAATAATTCACTTCAAACAGCATATTTATTTATTTATTCTTAGACATATGCTTTTAGAACAGCAGCACCCTAACATTTAAATGCTAGGTGCGTCTACATATATAAAAGCACATACTATTAAACATTTAAATAGAAATTGCTAAAATATAGTTCTTGGTTTAAAAATGTTGACTAAAAATTGCTTGAGAATTTTGTTAAGACTAGAATTAATATCATGCCCCCATTCCACATTATCACCAAGCATGGTCGTTAACTTTTGATCATTACTTGATGCAAGCAGTGTTGCACAAAGATCACTAGAGGCATATGTATTAACATACTTAAATATAGGTTATTTCATGCTATTCCAGGGTAATATGATATTGACCAAGCGAAATATGATATTGACCGAACGAGCGTAGCGAGTGAGTGTTAATATAAAATTTACCGAGGAAATTGAAAATTAAGCATGAAATAACCTTTTTATTCCATAATTCAATTTTTGAGAATTAAAGGAAAAGGGAATATAAAAAAAATTGAAAAAATGAAAATTTTGGGAAAAAAGAACATTTTTGAAAAGATTAAAATTTTCGAAATAAATGAAAATCTTTGAAAATTTGCAATTTTTTGAAAAAAAGAAAAGGACGATTCTCGGTTTGGAGAACAGTCTCCTGGGCTAATAATTTTTTCATGAAAAATATAGAAATATTACCCAAATTAAACTATGAATATTCAAAAGAGGACATTTAAATCTACAAGATGTAAAAATAACAAATTGGTCTGAAGCAGGGATAACGCTCAATTTGACCGATTCAATAAAATACAAGTCTTGATTTGGGGAAAGAAGTTCATCAGTGTACTGCGCTAATATTTTTTTGCGAAAAATCTAGAAATATTACCCAAATTAAATTATGACTATTCAAAAGAAGACATTCAAATCTATATTATGTAAAAAAATTAAATTTGTCCGAAGCAGGGATAATGCTCATTTAGATTGATGAACTTCGTTCTCCAAACCGAGAATCGTCCTTTCTGAAAAAAAATTTCGAAAATTGGAAAAATCAAATTTTTCGGAACTAAAACTGCAAAACTTTGCTGCGTCTTTATGATTCACATAAAAACCCGTAAGTAACTTGATTTTAACACTTAAAATCATCATAATAAAATTCTGTAATTGTTTATTGAACTTATTTTTGTGTTTTTGTGATTAAGAAAGAGAGGCTGAACACACATAGCAACTATTATATGAATTTCGAAAGTATATGTTTTGATGTCATTGCCCAATAGAGGAGTTTCAAAAGAGCTTTGAAATCTCGTTTTTCGTGAGATTTTAGGAGATTTGCAGATTAAGTTACATGCCTTTGATAAGTCAAGATAGAATCCTATGTTATAGTTATTATTGCATCGAGAGATGTTGAGGTTTTCAAGAAAGGTTAAGATTGCCACGTAAGTTGATTTGTTTGGTAATAAACCAAAATAACTTGAACTCAGTATTTTCTGTTTTATTATGAAATCCATGAGTCTTTTATGCCTGAGTTTCTCTAGCATTTTAGAAAGGATGCTAAAAAGAGAAATAGGCCTTTAGTTTAAGAATAAACTAGGTTTTAGAGTACTGCCCTTAAACCCATCTATTCCCAGACCCCACCCAACGAAAACAAGACAAATTCTACATCGCCGACTTATCGAGAAGTAGCTTTAACACCATCTACAAAACAGAAGCCAACCTCAACTACAAAAACCCATCCTCACAACGAAAGGCTGGATACTGAATCGCCACAACCTAACACAAAGGATACTCCCTGCAGTAAAATCCAAACATCGCCAAAACATATTTCCTCAAATGTCCCGCCCATTGAACGAGTATCACACCTAGAAACTACTGATGACGTTGAGTTCACAGCTGTGACACAAAGGCGCACGAAAAGCTTCCATATAAGCAGAATCTCACCAAATGTCACAGAACAAAAGATTAAAGACTATCTTATAAACAAGAACATAAGTGTTACTTTACTTCGCATTCTTAACACTAAGAATCCTCACATATAAACAGCCAAGGTTAATGTACAAATTAAAGATGCTAAAAAGCTATTAGACGGAGATTTTTGGCCTCACGGAATACGTTGTCGACATTGGTTATCAAACACTAGATACCAAGATGAGTATGGATATAATTATCAGCAAAACGAACATGAATTCTATGAATAAGTTGATCCAAATACTAGTGATACTTTTGTACTTCATTATGTCAAATATGAACAAGGATCACCTTAATATATTTGCATGGAACACGAACGGCATCATGACTAGTGCTCTTCACCTTGATGAATGTTTGGTCAAATTTGATATCGACATCTGTGCAATATCGGAGCATAAATTGTTCCAAGATAACATGTATTTTCTGAATTCAATTAATGAAAAGTATGATTCTTTTGCCAGAGCTGATGCTACTCTTGATCCGTTCCGTTCATGCAGAATAGGCAAGGGTGGTGTTGCGATTCTGTGGAAAAAATCCATTGGTAACAACATAAATCGTCTGAATCATATTGATAGTGATCGTATTGTTGGCATAGAATTTGTGCTGAACAATAATACATCTATGTATTTTCTAAGTGTATAGTTACCATCAGCAAATTATCCACCGACTGTTTATAAAGACTATCTAGATCATTTAACTGATTGCATAACCTATTACTCTAATTTAGGCACTGTTGTTGTTTTAGGCGATCTGAACGCACATGTGAATGGCCCAAGATGGACAAAGCATAATCTGAATACACAAAGCATAATGTTAAATGATATGTTATCTGATAAGGGGTTCTGCTCGATGACAACACTCGATAGATGTAAAGGACCTAAATTTTCTTGCATTCCAAGAAACCAGAGCCCTCCTTCGCTTATTGATCACATATGCTTAAATAACTCTAAAATTGATTTAGTGCATTCTTGTAGAATTATTGAAAGTTCTAATGAGTTGTTTTCTGATCACTTAAGTTTGTTTTTAACTATTAATGCTGGAAACATGTCAAGGGAAAAAGTAACAATTGAGCCTGCTTTAGCCTGGAACAAATTAAGTATTAGTCAAATTCAAAATGGGTATACTAATAGTTTATCACTCTCATTGCAGGATACTCTTGACAAAGCAAAGAAAGGTCTTTTCACTGACACGTCCCACCTTAATGATGAAATTGTCCTGAAGATGTCATTAGCATCTAAGGAACATATCCCCGTAAAGAAATTTCGACCTTTTCTTAAGCCATACTGGAATTCTGAGCTCAAAGCATTACATCGTGAGCAAAAGCGACTTCGTTGGATTTGGCTATGTGCAGGACGACCTAGAGGGATGGATCATGCTTCGTATCGAGCCTACAAATCAGCCAAGACTCTGTTTAGAAAGGAACAGCATAGATTAGAAGAAATGTGGGTGGAATCCGTATACGCTGAAATCGACACTGCTGACGAAACCAACCAAAAACTGATGTGGTCCATAATGAAACGTCGACGCCAACGCTCTGTCGCAACATGTGAAGAACTTCTCTGTGAAGATGGAACAATTACACGTAAGCCGCAAGAAATAGCAAATGAATTTAAAATATATTCTGAACGTATTTTCAGTGAATTAAAGTCAGACCAGTTTGATAAAGATTTTTATCGTAAAATAAAACATGACGTCACTACTTACTTAAATGAACCGTTCCCCTCTGAAGATCCTATTCTTCACACGCCAGTAACACATGGTGACATAGAATTAATAGCCAAATCACTTAAAAAACAGGAGGCTGGTGGCATTGACAAACTAACAAATGAACACATAATATATGGTGGCCATGTTTTATTTCAAACGCTCGCAGAACTTTATAACATGATAACCGTGACTTTGAAAACACCTTCTGCTTTTAACGATGGGGTCATTTCTAAGCTTTTTAAGGGCGGGGGTAAAAGCCGTTCAAGCACTGAGAATTACAGAGACATAACTCTTTTACCTGTCATAGAGAAATTATGGGAACGAGTTATAAAACAGAGAATACAGGAATTTGAGGAAAGGGTAGGGAAGCCAATCCTGAAGAGCAACCAGCAGAATGCTTATCAAGAACAGCTTTGCAGCATAACTTGTAGCTTTAACCTCACCGAAACTCTATACCATAACCTTGAATTAGGGAGCAAAGTGTACGTTGCATGTCTTGACACGAAACGTGCTTTTGATACGGTATGTCACGATGCCCTTCTCTGGAAGCTCCACAATGCTGGAATAACTGGAAGACTTTTTAATATATTTTATCAGCTTTTTCGTCAGATGAGGGCCAAAATACGATTCGGTGGTTTCAATTCGGACTGGTTCCCACTCCATCAATCTATAAGGCAGGGCGGAGTCCTGTCTGGCTGGACGTACCTGGTATTCATAGATGATCTACTCATTGAACTCCAACAAACACACCAAACTGCATCTATAGGGACGTTAGAAACGGGATGCCCGACACTGGCTGATGATTTAACCATTATTGCGACAACTAAGTCCAACCTACAATATCTCATTGATGTTGCTATTAATTATTCCAATAAGTGGAGATATCAATACAACCTACAGAAGAGTGTAGTTATGACAATCGGCGAATCACCACGATTGCATCCTCAATGTAAGTTACAAAGAAGATGGGGAACAACCAATGGACAGGAACTTCAGGAAGTTGATGAAATTTAGCATTTAGGTAATATGTATAGCCAATCTCTTTCATCAGATGTCAAAATTAATGCAGCGTGTCAGTCTTTAAGAGGCACTTTTGCATCACTCGTAGGAGCAGGGACGCACCCCCGAGGGCTGAACCCACTCACAGGCCTTAAACTCTTAAAATGTATTTGTATTCCTGCAGCTTTGTATGGG